CCCCCCCACACACACACACTTCCCCCACATGAAAAAGAAAATCTTCCCATCCTTTTTGGATGTGAATTCCCATATTCAACACTGTATCCTGCTTTTAGTGTTTGCTTTGTACTGGACACTTTGTATTGAAATTTGGAGTATCAAAGAAGACAGAATGGGCTCATAATTGGAACGGGTAAACACTTTTTATGAACTGTGAGTTTTTAAATTGTTAATGGCTGAGGAAGAGTAATTTAGATGCCACAGACCTTCATTTTTTTTTTCTCCAGGAAGGCCAGAAACACCTTTTAGTACATTTAACTTGTTTAAAAAGTCATAAGTCTATTGCTGTTCTTGAGTGCCCAATAGTCATAAATTTTATCTTTACATCTTCTATGTATGTGGGGAATAGTGTCACTATTGTACAGATGCAACCAGGGCAGGTTGAGTGATTTGCACAAGTTCTGGTCAGTGCCTTACAGCCCCTGACATTAATTGCTATGCTATGGGACAGGGGTTGTCAACCAGGGGTATACGTACCCCTGGGGGTACTTAAACTGGTCCTAGGGGGTACGTGCAGGTGGGTGGGGATGAAGTGCCACCACCTCCCAGGAGCAGGGCCAGGGCGGGGCAAGGGCAGCAGTACCCCTCTGCGAGGAGGGGAAGCGAGCACCTGGCAGCTGCTGCCGCCACACACCAGCCTGGTAAGCTGCTCTGCCCTGCAGAGGGGCACCACTGACCTTGCCCCACCCTGGTGAGCTAATTCTTCACTCTTTTGCCTCACCATATACAAGTTTCCCTCATCCCCCACCCGCCCCATTTAGATGTGTTCACATGCATTTTGACTCTTCATCAGGTCCATCTCCTTGCTCAGCCATCTACTCATGTTCAGTTTCCCTTTCTCGCCAGCTCCTCGTGTCCTTGCTTCGTTTCAGGAAGACGTTAGGCCCAATTACGGGAGGCATGGAGTCCAAAGGAGAGAGACACACCTGGCTTTTGGTGTGAGGCTTAGCTTTTCACTCAGTTTTTGAGGGGTGCCTTAAGTCTAAAAGGGATGAGAACCACAGTTTTAGAGCTTCTCAAATAAAGCCTCTTTGTCCTGTCAAACTCTCCTGAAGAGAGACTAATTTCATCACAAAAAGTTATTAGACTAGGTTAGACTTGGTTATATTTTAACAGGTAGATTGATTTAACTAAGTCAATTTATATAATAACATAAATTACCAAGTGGAAGGTCTTGATTTAAATGTTCTTAGGAGGGCTTGGACTAGATAAGCCGAGGTCCCTTCGAACCTTAACTTCCTATGATTCTGTCTATTGTAATCAAAGTTTTTATTTGTACTTCAGTTCTTTTTTAAAGAGAGACTCATTCTCATTGGTTAATTTAACCATTAAAATGCACTGTTTTACAGTTAAATAGAAACTTTATGCCAGGATTTGGTGCACTTTCTTGCTACATAGCGGGGGGTACCTTACCCATAGGCATTTATTTAAGCAATGGTGTAACTTGTTATTTTCAGATTCTTATTAATTTTATTTAGTATGATATATATATACCCCCCCGAGTTTACTTATTTACTAGCTAATTTATTTGTTTACCCATTTGTTTTTGTTAAATAACTATTAAGTTAATAACTGACATTTAATTAAATGTACAATAGCATATAAAATATGTTAATAAATAAAACAGCCTTAAACCATGGTGCATCATAGAGTGAGGTCCTGATCCCTGTGATGACTTCAATCTCTTGCACCCAATAGTATAACCCCTGGGTCTCCTAGAACCTCAAACCATTAATACAGGATGCATCCTGTTGTCAGGCTCTGTATATTATTGACCCTGACTTCAGAAGTTAGATGTACTCCTGATTCTGTCATACAGAAATACACAAAATGCCTGTAGACTAAACATTTTGACAGATGTTTAGGTTAACATTCCGGATTCAGGACATTTAAATAAAATGTTGTATGAGGTTATAGTTAGCTTAGAGCTTTTATATTAAATTTCATTTAATTTAATTTTACCAGTTCTATTTTTAAAATTAAAATAATTATAATTTAAATAGCAAACCTCATTTTAAATATTTTTTTAATATATAAATTCAGTACTTTAATATGGTTCATGCTGATTAGGAGAGATATTATGACTTAATAACACTGCAAAATAGAATTTGTCTGTTTGCCAAGTATACAACTCATAGTATCTCTTATAAAAATGTTAGTGTCCCTAATGAGAGCTCTACAGAACTCATAATGTGGGCAAGAAGTGGAAAAAAAAAAAAAGTAAAGAATATTTTGTATACCTGGATCTTGTTTCATATCATAAGAGAAAATTATCAGAAATGTATTGCATAGGACTACTAATGCTGGAGCCTTCAAATGCATCAAATTGCATTACTGTTCTTACTGATATTCTTTCTGTCTCTGATAGTAATGGTTATATTCTTGAGTCTGATGGTCTTTGGCTTTTATGTTTACAGTAATCAGGGGTTAGGTGGAACAATCAAACACTGTTAAGCTAATATTAAATTCAGTTGCGTGTTTGTTGTTTGACAAAATGTTACCTTGTTCTCCACTTATTTTAAAGAGAGCTCTGATTGAAAGCCTAGCTGGCTTGTATTCAACACAGAGAGAAGCACCTTGAAGAACTGGTCTTACTACTGTTTCTGGACATTCATACAGTGGTAGTTCTTTCCTATGCTACCTGTTAACTCTGGCCATTGACTGTGCCTCATGTCCGCAGGTTTTCGCTGTAAACCATATTTCTGTCAGTTTGAAGGCTTGGCTACTGCAACACATTCTACATGGGCCTTGAAACTTCTAGCTCGTATGAGAGCTGGTTTTCCTTGGTGTAAACTGAGAAGAATCTTATCTTTGTTCCCTGTTGTAAACAATCTGCTAATTAACTTCTGAGCAAAATATGCTTCTTATAAAATCACGTGGCCTGTATCTTAAGTGTCTTGAGATCTTGTATCAAGGAAGAGAGTACCGGGAATACTAGTATCTTGTACTAGTAGGAGAGTACTTTGATTCATGTGTCCAGACAAGACATTCTGTATTGGATCTCTGCCTCTGGAATTTCATACTGATGCATGCTAATTTATTTTTGGATGTGGTCTGCTACCAACATCCTGCTTCTGCATCTTGTGGTTGTGATTCGTCAATATAAGTTTATCTTCAGTTACTGTGATTCATAGGAGAAGATACAAAACTGAAATCCCTATTACAGCTTGTAGGTTTAAACCTACTCTGTAGTGACCACAATTTTTTAGTCCTAAATTCAGTGAATGGATAAAAACAACCAATTCTGCAAATGAATTTGCTTTTGTTAACCCTATATCTAACACATTTCTTTCTTTTTTTAGTGATTCTCCTTTGCCTGTCTCATCACGTGTCTGTTTTGTAAAGTTCCATGATCCTGACTCGGCAGTTGTGGCCCAGCATCTGACAAACACTGTATTCGTTGACAGAGCGTTGATAGTCGTACCATATGCAGAAGGTTTGTGAATTGTTTAATGGCCTATGAAGCCATCATATGATGGCATTTTACTTCAGTATAATTCTGTAGAGTGAGGTTTAGTAGCATGCAAAACATCTGAGATTTATTAACATTTTGAAACCCCTGGTATACTGTCATTAGCCTCTGCATTAAAGGAACCCTATTTTTAGTAACAGTGGAAGCTGGAATATTTGTCTCTTAATATTTTCTATAAGAAATATCTTAATTTTAGATATTTAAGCAGAATTATTTGTAAATTATGCTCTTGATTCATTTAAGACATCGTCACCATAATTTAAAATACTTGTTTGCATAAGAAACTTTGTCTGAAAGATGACTTATTCAGCACTTGCACTTTTACATAATCTCTTCATGAGAGTTTTCTCTTTTGAGAGTGAATGAGAAAGTGGATTAGCAGGGTTTTTTTTGCAATGTCCTGATCCTTCATTTAGTTGAGAGAATCTCTGAAGAAACCCTCACCCTCACTCTAAATTCCAGTATACCAGGGGTTTGAATGATTGTTCTATAAACTGAAAGTGAGATCTTCCAAAAGGTGCCAAATGGGCACTGGGTATTAGATTTATTCCATGTTTTCTTGTTCAGCCTTGCTATACTTGATAGAATTTCACTAAATAATAAATTCTTCTCTCTGTTATTTGTGTGTGTGATTTTTGTAGTGGAGAAGGCAAATGCAAAGCCCTTCCAGATGACTGAAAAACAGTGGGTCCTCTGCAGCTACAGGGGATTCTAGACATTAACTAAAGGCCAGCAAGCACTCAAGTCCCCAAGTGTTTTCCTGGTGTAATCACTTGTTAACTCCATTTTCTTTTTTTCTTTTTTCTTTTCTTTTTTTTTATCTTTTATATTTTTAGGGTGTTACAGTAACTTGAAAGGCAATGAACAGGGGTTTTGGAACTTACCTTAATGTGCTGAGAAGAGAACACTTCTTACAGAAGTCTTATTAAACTCTTCTAGATTTACTTCAGAAGTAATTTATTTCAGATATGCTGTTTCTTGATTTACTTTAATTAATTTTCTCAAGTCTCATGAATACAGTAGAATCTCTGCAATTTAAGTCAGATTATAGTAATAAACCTTACGGTCTGTGGTCAGATCTTTGTCAAAGCAGCGTAATTCTAGTGGCTCTCTAATGAGGGCAGAGCAACAGGTTTGGCTTAAAAATAAAATTATAAAGAAATTAAGCACGTAAGTCTTAATTATTGATTTCTGAATTTGCAACATGACTTGTACTTCAGTTATTTTTCAGTGTACAGAATACCTTCCAAAAGTTGTAGCCTGTTTGCTGTAGTAAGCAGTGGAGTTTAAAGGAATCTCTCCATTTTTTTAATGACTATACTAAAGCATGCTGTCCATTTGTATTGGTAGCATTTAGATATTCTATGGGCCCCCTATTTAAGATTGTTAAACTGCCACACGTTACCGCTAAGTAATGTGATTTTTCTCTTAGTTAGTATAACTTTTTGTCCATTGTGCTTGATGGTGGATAAACCTGGCACATGCCCCATAGTTGCAAATCAGAGCATGCTAAAGATGCTATGATGCAAGTCTGGCATACACTAATATATTAGGGGGCCTAATTTGATAAAGGAGTTTCTTGTAGGCTGAGCAGCAGTTTGTAGCTCTTGTAATGTTCTTTGCCTAATTATATGGTGTATCACAATAGCTTGCTCTTCTCTACTTAAACGTGTCCTTTATTTTTTTGCCTTTGTACCTCTGTAGAATATAGTCTTGATTCTCCCAATGCTTAGGGTTCCAATTCAATGAGATACTTAAGCACAGAATAACAAGGTGCTTAAAATCACTGAGATTGCTCATGTGCTTTAGACACTCTTAAGTACTGTGCTGAACTGGGGCCCTTTAATTCTTATTGTGATATTCTGTGTTAATGTTCCCTTTTACTAAAGAAAATGTTAATTATTGCAATGAACATATGATAGTCCCCTCTATTGCAAGCACACACCAATTTTAGCATGTATGGGCGTTTCATGTTGGCTGTTGCTCTGTGTAAAGTCTACGGTAAGGTTTAGAATCAATTGTAATTATCACTGTGATATTCCTAGTTTTGAAGGACCTTTAAAAATTAAAGGTGGCTGTGGGGGGTTATTTAGGTTCTTTGGTTAATGTTTGTTTCTTTTGTCTGTTTCTTTTTCTTTCACTTCTACACATTCATGCAGTATTTCATGGTTCTAACAAAGCAGCAGTAAAAAAAAACTCTTGACGCATGAAAATTAACTGGTGAGGGGCCTCATTGCTTTTTTTTTAAATTGTAGTTTTATATATTCTAAATATTTTTAAAACTTAGAGGATCAAATGCATGATTTTTTTTAATGAATGCAGATCTTCTATGAGGTGTCTCGAGATAAGTCTGAGAGGATTTGTGTTTAGATACCAGAAATGTTGTAGTCTCAATAAATTGAAATGTTTAGATATAATTTATATCCTCCGAGACATAATTTTGCATGCAAAATTACCCCATAATCTCTGTAGGTATGTTAATATATTACTGCATTGATGCCCTTTATCTAAATGACCTTTTTCCCCCCCTCTCCCTCCATAACTTTTGGTATCTAAATTGATGACAGCTCAATGACCAAGCAAGATAACAGTGCTGTGTATTATACATTTGTTTATATTATCGGCACTTCTCAGTATAGGTGGAAGGAACCATTACCTTTATTTAACAGTGGTTTTTCTTTTTTGTTGTTGTGTTTTACAGTTCTTTTCCCTGGTTCAGCCTGAACTATATACCAGGCCCTGCTGAAAATACCACCCAACAGTTTTCTTCTGCAGCTTATCCAGTTTCTCTTAAGTGCCCTGTACATATTGTATGTTTTATGATGAGATGCAGTTTCTTAATATGTATTACAGAAACACTACTGGTATTTGCAAATATATAGTAAAATTGTATTATTGAACTCTCATTTGGGGGCTTGGGCACATTAACAGATTAATCCATCTGTATAGGGCTTTTGCTGTTGGATAGAATACAAATTATCCACATAAATACTTGTTTCATAGTAGGACCCTTAAGATTTGTTCTATGTGCAGAATAGGTAGTAAACTCAGACACTTGTCTTAGTTGGCTACAAGAGTTTGGGCTGGAAGTTTCTTCTGAAATGACAGTATGTAGTAGCAACCTTGGTACAGTAAACATGGCACATATTGGAACATATGCATTTTACTGCACAGGTAAGGAATGTGCCACAATGTACTGTATATACACATCCACCCACACATACACAGCGTGTATTTGGAGATCTGCAGAGACTTTCATGTTCATTTGATGAGTCAGCAAAAGCCCTACGCTTGATTCAGCAAAATATTTCCTTACCTTCTCTTAATTTTTACAAAATTTGTGTGGTAGGTGTAAAAGAAATCATAGTGAACTGTACCATATTATTAACCCCTAAATCAAACTTTTTTTGTCTTGTGTATCTTGATTTTTCTGTGTGCTTTATAGTGAAGCAGCCGACACGAGTCGTTGTTCATAAAACAGCTTTTGAAAGTTGAGAGCACACCCCTGGAGAACCGACTGTGCTTGCTTACGTTTGGTTCATGACTTAAAAATCGAGTACAGGTGATGAAATCTTGGCAGTGTTAACAAAAAAGTAGTGTGTATTGTGCTATTTTTTGCTCTAGAAACTTAACCATTTGTAGAGAAAAAGGAACAGTCAAATTTTCACACATTGAAGTTTCATTCTGACATAAAATTTAATGATAAATATTAATAGACATCAAGCTTTGTATTTTAGCCAACATAAGTACTTTCAACAAACTCAGGTGGTCTATCAGGGAGACATTTTCTGGGTGTATTTGTGTATTTTCTGACCATGAGATAGAATGCATTCTAATGCAAGGCTGTTTCTCTGCAGGAGTTATTCCTGATGAGACTAAGGCTTTGTCTCTCTTGGCACCAGCTAATGCTGTGGCAGGTCTGCTGCCTGGAGGTGGACTCCTGCCTACTCCCAACCCACTTTCTCAGGTAGGTTTTCATATTAGATTTGAGTGATACAAACGCTATATTTATCTATAGTCTGCCAGACCTTAACAGCATTTATGCACATACATTTGTCTGCTCCAACGAGCCGCGCTAGATTAATCGAGTCTGCTCCACATGCAAGCTTGATGCACATTTTGCCATTTAGACAGATGTACGCGCCAAAGCACTGGGGACTTTTAAAAGCGGCACTGCTGTGCAAGCATGTGTACAAATGCCCTAACTTACTTGGTTGATACTTTCTTGGCTTAAGTATGTATAGCTTGCAAGAAGAAAATTGGCTACGTGCTTAATTAATTGACATAGTGATTTAGTTATAAATATTTATCTACAGTGCTTTCAGTCATCTGGCATGCTGAACTGTGTGGTGCTAGAGTGACAAGCTTCTAGGCAGAAGACATTTTTATTTTTTTTATCATTCTCAATGCTTCCAGTACAGTTTCTGATAACCTGTATAAATCTTATAATTTCTAGCCGTGGAGAGGATGTGCTTGGTGCCAAACTATTCTAATGCTCTTACCAGAGTTTTATATTGCAGCAGTTTCTCAGTTTTATGTCTCTTTACATTAAAACTATCAAATCTCTTGGTGTACAGAATTGACTATAGGTACAAGTATCACTTGAAGCATTAGTTTCTTCCAGCACAGTCTGAAATATGCTTTACTGTGGAATTAGCTTAGTACAAGTATGTATACAGGCATCATTGGAAAGTGTAATGGTGCCTAACTCTTAGATTCCTTTTTAAATCCATACCACCCAAGCTGCTATTGCCTGTCAGTAGGACTTGGGAGTCTTAACTCTATCAGGCTCCTTTAAAATTTGAGTTTATCTTTGCATAGAATTATATTTAGAGATTTAAGTGCATGCATTTGTATGTGGTTATTTTAAGCTGGAGTTAAGGTGCATACTTGGACAGGGAATACATTTACTGAGTATGTTAAATCATAGGTCCTTGTTTCATTAAAAAGAAAAATAATTTCTTCTGTCTTTTTTTAAATTGATTTTTACTTCTAAAATTGCTGCAAATTGTTAGTTATAGGGTGTGAGGTTGTTGCATGGCAGCTACATAATTGTTCGCTAAACTATAATCTCTCAGCAGTCAAAACCTACTGACAAGATGCATTTACGGAGACATACAGAACCTTGTATTGAGAGTGATGAATGAGGAGGAAAGAAATGTCAGTTTGCAGTGCTCGCTATGAGTTGTTTTAACTTTTAAATATAAACTACTCGCTTAGAAATCAATACAAAAAATGTATTGAAACCCTACAGTAAAATTTTAGAGTAACTTTCTGACATAGATTGTTACCTTTTAAATGTTTTTGAATATAATAGACAAAGCTTTCCCTGGTTCCCCCTCCCATTCTCAGGGGGGACTGGAGGAAATAATGTCTTGAATACCTTGAGTAGAAACTTTGATATTTCTCATTTTGCAAATTTATGTTTAAAAGAAACACAGGGTACTCTTAGTGACCTTCTTGTGAAAGGATTTGCCATATATGGAGTCATGTATTGAGTTTTAGTTAGGAATCCATATAATATCTTGGATGATAGATGTTAATTGTACCATTGTGTATGTTACAGATTGGTGCTGTTCCTTTAGCTGCTTTGGGAGCTCCTGCTCTTGATCCTGCCCTAGCTGCACTTGGTCTTCCTGGAGCAAACTTAAACTCTCAGGTATAAAATTCACTGTTTTATGTAATGTCTCTGGCAGACTTAGGATCTCATCATCATGGAGTACCTCCAATATTCACTGTTGTGTTAAGTCACTGATTCAAGATCTGGACTAACCACATGTAATTCTGAATAGGTGCTACAAAAACATTGCTGTACCAAGAGACCATTGAGGGCTTAGAGCACAGTCTTCAAATGGTGTATAACACTGGTCAGCAACCTTTTCAGGCTACAGACTATAATGACCCAGTTTGGGTTGGGGCAGGTTCTGGGACCCAGCTCCAGCCAGCTCTTTTTCCCGGGTTGGGGAGAACAAATGTCACCAAAGCTACATATTTACAGGCCAAACTGAATGGCTCTGTGGTCCAGATCTGGCCTGTACGATATAGGTTGCTATGTAGCATTGAGCTAGCTCTACTAGACTTTAACATGTCAGATAATAAATTAATGGGGGAAAATATTGAAAAAATATTTCATTGGTAGAGCAGCACTAACATGTTTTGAACATAATAACATTCCATCCAAGGATTACAGATGGCTTTTTAAATCCATAGATTTGGAAAGATCATGCAGGTTTCTGATGATATTGTAGAGTTTCTGAAACAGTGCTTTTATGGAAATAGGTGGGAAAATTCATAAATAATCATCCTAAGTAGCACTTGCGTAATGGATCTTATGTTGACTCAATGTGTCATCACTGTCAGCTTGTATGCTAGAGCAGTCCTGCATGCTGGTTCTGGTGCTAGTGCAGATCAGGCTCATAGACAGGCCATGTATGCTGGATCCAGAATGTAAGGCCTGTCTAGCATACTGTATTATACTCCTCATGCAGCATATGCCCTATGCTGGGTGCATGCTGCACATGGGCCCACGTGAATTTGATAACCTTGATTTAGATAGTTTCATTGTGTGCTGTCTTTAGATCTTACAACAAAAATGAATATGTTGATCATAATGACATATTTTTACAAACAGAAGTTAAACCATTGTAACTATATAACTTTGAAGCTGTTTTTCTTTCTGGTGGCTTATCAGGCTGATGGCAGTGCAGCTTGTATGGTTTGTCAGTTCAGCAAGCATTACCTATGGGAATGAATTAGGAAGGCAATATACTGGCTGTTAATATGCCAAGTCTAGCAAGCAGCCTTAAGTACAGGTTTGTGAGACCTGGATTTTTTCTAAGAACAGAAAAGTCTTAATTTCTAGATTAGTTGATACACTACCAAAACAGTTCCCGTCTCATTCCTTGCTCTAAGTATGTGTCTTAGAGATATCTGTGCCAGATCAGTGTCTTATTAAACCATAAGGACATAATTTATAGACACTATGAACGGTTGAGAAGAGTGTCTTGATTCCTTCCTGGAAAGATGCTAATAATGGTATGGACATTCATTAAGGGTATGGACATTCATTTTTATATCGCTATAAAGTGCTTTACAAAAATGGACTTAAGGGGGTAGACAGATGTTTTAAACCATGGATGGAGAGCTACAAAAATCATCTCAGAGGCATGCTCTCCAGCTAGGGGGCTGCTGTTTTGCTCTTCCTACCCCCAGGGGAACTTCTCAGTGAACTCTTCCTGCTGCTGCTGTCACTAGAGGAGCAGAAGATTTTCCAGCTAATCCAGCAGGAGTTGTGGTAGTGGGAAGAACTTCCATGGCCTTGCATCAGTGGTGGCGGCAGTGGCACCTGTTCCTGCCAGTGCTGCTGCTGCAAGAACACTAGCAGCAGCTGGAAGAACACTGGCAATAGGTTGGAGGAGGCAGAGAGAGTGAGTAGAGGACTGTGGGGTTGTTGGAGGACCAAGAAGACTCCCTGTAGTACTACATGCAAATAGACAGCCATTGCATATGGGGCTGCAAAAGGACTTAGTACTATAGAAGATCCTTTTTGCAAAAGGAACACTTGTTGCAAATCTGCCATTTTGGTTGTACTACAGTCTACAGATGGTATGCATATCTGTCCACTAGTTTTTGGTAGCGCTACAAATGTGCTTGTAGTGCCAGAAATGAAGTGGCTGCCGATGTCCTAACTGGCATGTTAAAAGGAAAGCACTTAAGGGTTATGTGGTCTTCCTGGAGAAATGGCTATCTTCTGAGAAGGAACAGTCAGCATATCTTGCCGAAACAAGGATTTCAAAACAGAATGAGGGCATATTAATGCCTGAGGCTTTTTTCAACCATAAGCACTTCATGCTCTTGCTTGTTCCATGTGTATTCGAGCATGTTTAGAATGCATATTTCTTGAGCACGCTTCTAAATATGGTTTTATATTTTTCAGTCTCTTGCAGCAGATCAGCTACTAAAACTTATGAGCACAGTGGATCCAAAGTAAGATTACTAATATTATTGATAATATACTAAGATTACTGGTATCTTCAACTTGTTATATTGCAGTACACTTAATCTTGGGTTATCATCTTATATTACTTGGTATTTACCCCATTTCTTAGGTCTAGCCAAATAGAGTGAGATAAATTGTCTTTCTACAAAGCCCACAACAGAGGTTTTGTCTGTTGAGGATGAGGTACAGCAAGGGGGCTCATCTTGTCTAATGTATTTGTGGTAGAAAATTCAGTTTGAAAAGAAGCTGGGAGTGACTAGGGTTTTGATATTGCTAAATTTGAGAAATAGTCCAGAATCAGCTTGATGAAATTTAATAAATCTTTCTAGAAAAGAGAAATCACATGCACAAGTATTTTAATGGTGAGCAACTGGTTTAGCAGCACATGTGCAAAAAAGGATCTGGGGAGTATATATCATCCCTTTTCTGGACTCTCCAGGAATAAGAAATTTGGAAAACGTGCCTGTTAAGAAAATTTGAAGGAATTCTGGGTTTATTTGGTATAGAGAAGAGAAGACGAAGTCATGAAGAGTCTTCTATTTATGTAAGAAGTTGCTATAAAGAGGGCAGTGATCAGTTGCTGTCTGTGTCCACTGAGGGCAAGTAGGAATTTGCATTCAATTTTGCAGCAGAGATTTAGGTTAGATATTAGATCTTTCAAACTATTTTTATAGTTAAGCACTAAAACAGGCTACATAGAGAAGTTTGGGAATTTTGTCCAGTGTAAGTTTTTAAGGACATTACATAAATGTTTTTCAGGCACAGTTTTAGAGCGTAGGGACAGAGTTATGTGACTTAGGGGTGGGAGATACCGCCATATTTTTACAAGTCTCCAATCTAATTTCTGAGAACAAGATGCTAACATGGAGGTCTTCCTTGTATGGGTGAAGCACTTCCAGTTTGTTTACTGTGTCCTCTGAGGAATTACCCTTTCACTTGTTCAACCTCAAGACCCCTACTTTTGCAAAAATACACAAAGTGACATTAGAAATGGGAGTCTGCTCAAAATAGCATTTGGAACCTTTTGCTGTTTGCACATTGGTGCAATAAATGCTAAAGTAAGATGCCTTGTACCTCTGCCAGCACATAGCAGCTTTCAGAATCTACAGTATATCAGTGCTCCTTTAGTGAGAGCTTGCAGGATGAGGGGCCTATGATATAGTTATACCAGTATGGCAATGAGTACCATATTTCTTGCATACACACACACACACCAGAATAAAATACACTAAAATAAATACCAGAATAAAATACACCAGAATAAAATACACTAAAATAAATAATACACAATAAAATAATACTTGTTTTTGAAAGGCAGAACGAAGAAGAAAAGATAGCTGCATAGAAACATGACGGAGCCTAATATTCAGCTGACTTATCCTTCTTTTCCTGTTTCAGTAAAGCTGAAACCCTAGCCATTACTGAAGACTAGTCTATGTGGGTAGATTTGTGATTTTGAAAAGAGCTAAATAGTCTCCAAGGCTCTGAGATAGGAGAAAAGAGACCAGGAGCAGCTAGCAGACAGCAAGATTACCCTAAGAAAGGCTGGTTTGATTAGTGGAACATCGAAACTTACCAAGGAGAGATGATTGTTAACACCTTGAAGTGAAGAACAGTGAGCCATTACATCAGTTGACATCCTCAGCTGCCTGCATAGTAATGCAACAGCTGCTGCACTGTGGAGCAGGAATCAAAGCAGGGTGCTTCTATCCTGGCCAGAAAATTGGCTTCCCTGCTTAATACATGAACCCCAGTTTTTGGAGGGGGCTGCTTTTTGAGGGGGAAAAGTACATGTGGTATGAGAGACAATACAGTGCATGTCACATAGACTCATAAGGCTGGCACAGTACTTTGTTTCTGAGCAGCAGGGAGACCCAGAGGGAGATTATGACTTTCAGTTGAGATTCCTTCAAAGACACCTCAGTGCTTTGGGTAGGCTGCAAACTGACTGGTTTGTGCTACATTTTTGTATTCAACAATAGTGAATTTTGAAATTTTATTTTAACATAATGGCTTGTTCTAGGTTGAACCATGTAGCTGCAGGTCTTGTCTCACCCAGCCTGAAATCAGATACCTCCAGTAAAGAAATAGAGGAAGCTATGAAAAGAGTACGCGAAGCACAGTCACTCATTTCTGCTGCTATAGAGCCAGGTAATTGAACTTTTAAAAGTGAAATTAGTGTATTGTTATTAAACACAATTTTTGGCAACATAATAGATAAAGATTTATAATGTGCAAAATGATTTAATACTTTGTTGTTTATGAATTAGTTTGTACTGTATAGTGTTTTTATTTTCCTGTAGAAGATAAAAATATGTCATTGACTCACCAAATGTTCAGCTAAAGCACACTTCTTATTCTGGGCCAGTGATGTTCAGTCTCTGGTCCCATGCTCTAGTTCCCATGTGTGGGGTTTGTCCACCCGTGCAGTCTGGTGCATGGGCCCACAACATCTGGACTGTGGCAGCCTCCTATCGGTCTGGAAATTTTGTAGTGGAGCAGTGGGGGCAGCAATAATTGCCTGGGAGTAATTAACAGGGTGTAATTATTTTAAATCACTGGTCAGGAAACTTCGATTTAATCACTGTTTTCTACAAAAAGTGCATTCTTGTTGTTTGATGATAACCTTCATTAAAATATTCTCAAACAGGGTCTCTTACAGCCTGGCAAGCCTGCCATGATAGGTGTCCCTTCTACCATACCATTCCCTCACTAGATCTCAAATCAGTGGAGGGGCTATACTCAAACTTATCCCTCAAGACTTCTGGAATAGTCTGCTGAAAATGTTTCTCTTTTGTTTCTACTGCCTCTCCCTCCTTGCTTTTATTTCCAGACTCCTCCTCCTTGCCCAGATCTACTCCACCCCCAGAAATCCTCTATTCATTTAACTTCTTGAAACTTTGCACTTTTAGAGAGAGGTAAGGGCTTGACTGTGTGTACACAAACTTGAACAGAGACAACAGGGCTCATGGGTAGGTAATCAGGTCTGTTAACTTTTATCTCTCATCTCCATATACTGCTGTTAACAAGGATGTTACCTCTGGAGAGACAAATCCACAGTTTGAGAACTGAAACTAAGTATCACAGAGATTCTTAATGGGATCTTCTAGATTGAGCACTGAGTCGCATTGGGCTCAGTGGTGTTCTTTAATTTTTACTAATCTATAGAGGAGCTTCTGGGAACCCCATAAGATTGGGCCCCTAATATAGTCCATGGCCTGTTGTGACCTATTTATAAAACTTTTCTAAAAAGGTTACATGAATATATGGTCTCAAATATACTGTATATAATTAGAAGTTATAGTCCCTATTCCATGATAATATCTTTGAGCTTTAACATATTTTAAATTAAAAATACCTTTATGTAAAGGTTTTGTTTTTTTTTAAATGCATCTTAAAAATACAAAAAAACCGCAGCTAAATAAAAGTAAAATCTTATTTAAATAAAAATCCATTTTTTTAATTGTTGATTTGTATCCACCCTGGCAATTAACACTGCTACTGCTCCCCCACCACCAAATTTCTTGGCCTGTGGACCAAAAGTTGAGCACCACTCTTTTAGGTTGGTTGATTGGACACTGGGTGGAGCAAGCTGGAGAACAAACAGGAATAAGTTTATGCATGTTTTGGAAAGAACTTATGTTTTGAAGATGAACTCTATTACCAGTTTTTGCTGAAAACATCAGGTGCTTCCAAGAATGTGAACTCTGGTCTTATTAATTGTTGGGGTTTTTTCGCTGTAGAGACTCCTGTAAAGGAGCCAAAAATGGCATTGAGAGGTTTCCTAGCTTCAATTGAATTAGCAAGGATGTTGAAACTTTAATATCAAAGTTTTTTTTCTTTCAACACTAGTATCAATGTAACTTGAATCTTCATTAGTTTGATGAAAAATCACTTTGCCAAATAAGGTTTCATGTTACAGCTGTGTTAGTTATTTGCTAGTCTTCCGGTAACATCTTCTGAGAACCAGAATGACGGACCCAAATTTCTACTATAAAGAGATAAGAACAAATAAACAAAAAATAGCAACCCGGTAGGCTTTCTTTTTCTTTGTCTTGTCAGCACCGTTGTTTTTTCTCTTATGGATCTCCTTGAAAACTAACAGCTTTATTTTGTTTTTGCATTAACATTTTTCCATTTTAACACTAGATAAAAAAGATGAAAAACGAAGGCATTCAAGATCACGATCACGATCGCGGAGGAGGAGAACTCCTTCTTCTTCTAGGCACAGGTAAAATTGATTGATAATGTAAACAAGTCAAACTGTCTGAAATAATTCCAATTACCTTTAAAAACTAAGCTCTTCTCATACAGAGAAGGTTGATAGTTGGTCAGTGTGGGGTATGCGAGTAAACCCAACTTCTGTAGCATGCTAGGAACCCGAGTTGGAAAATGACTTTGTAGAACAGACTCGAACTGTATTGAGCATAAGGAGCTGCATGGGCATCTTCCAAAAGCTGCATAGGGTTGCCTGCTGACATCTGGTTCCAAGCAAATGAGTAGTTTCTATCAGTGCAACTCAAACAAAATGAGTCTCAATGTTTTTATTCACTATACTGATTCCCTTATATTGCAGAGTTCTGATACTTTAAATCTGCCCTCTCTTTCATTTTTACTTCAGTATTCCAGCGGTCCTGGTCATCACTTGCCTAGATTTTTGCATCCCCTTTCTAAAGTGACCATATTTTCAAAGTCCAGCAATGAGAAGTTGGAAGTTCTGTAACAATGTACTTTTGAGATGGGACATATTCATTTTTTTTTTTTTTTTTTTTAAAGCATATGTGCTGATACTATTTCTGATTCAACAATGGCATGTGCTTATTTCAGAGTAGATAATTCTCCCCCCCACCGCCACTCCAAAAGCAAAACTTTAGTAAAAGTATTAGTCTTTCATTTGGCTTCACTCCAAACACTGTTTGTTCCACTGAATGCTGTTTCATGGCATTTCGTTTAGAACGTCTTCAAAAAAACAAACAAACCTCTGAAAACGTTTTTCAGTTAATCTGGTGTAAGGCTGGGATATTTCAGGTGTCCTGACAAAAAATACTTGCATTGTTCCATAAAACTGGGACGTACGGTTACTACATATATTTGGTCTCCAGACTGACCTTGTACCAAAATAGTCTGTCCAGTGCCTCTCCACATTACTCCATCTCTTCATACTGCTTCACTGTTTCCATAAATCTTCTGCATTAAGTCTCTGAAATGCATTGCTGCTGCTTGTCTTTGACCGGTCTGCCAGTGTAGCTGGAACATGTGAACAAGTACTATTTTCCCCCCTGCCCCTTGGCTCTTGATTCTGTATCTGTTTCTTCTGTATTGCTATTATGCCTCCTGCAATACGTGACCAGCAGTCACTTGATCATTTTCAGATTATTCCTCAAACCTTTGCGGTCAGTCAGTGTTTTTCAGCCACCATAGGAAAGCTTGCTTACTAAATCAAATAATGCCACCCAGTTTGAAGTATCTGTTGCTTATCCACCTCATGCAGTTGTGACACCATTTTTTTCTGTAACTTGTCTCAGAAATGGCATTAACCGTACATGCTCTGTCATCTGAACATTTTGTTGCACGTGGCATCAGTATTTGACACAGCTTCTAAATAGTATGTCTTGGGTCAAATCTATATTTGTAATTCTGCCATCAATGTACTGTTACTAGACGATCAAGAAGCCGATCGAGGAGGAGGTCCCATTCAAAGTCAAGAAGCAGGCGGCGATCTAAAAGTCCAAGGCGGAGGAGGTCTCATTCGAGAGAGAGAAGCAGAAGATCTAGGAGCACATCCAAAACCAGGTAATGCCCTCATGAAATCTCTGAATGTAAAAAGGACATGAAATTAATTTAGCAAAAGAAAATCAGTGCTTGGGAATATTTGATGACCTTGTTACTAATAGAGTGCTGCAAGTTAGCAGTCTGAACTCTGATAGTTACTTACACGATGAGATAAAATGAACTTGCTAACTCCTATACCTTGTTAATTTTGTATGAAGTCTGTGTTTTCCCTGTAAATGCCCAATGTTTAGCACCTAAAGAAACATGACTTCATTTTCATAGGGGATAAGCAGCTCCTATTGGTTTAAGTGCAAAATATGGATGCATTTCACACTTGAAAATTGTAAAACCTGAGTGATTTTGAAAATCTTTATTTCATTCACTTAAAGGGATAAAAAGAAGGAAGAGAAAGAAAAGAAACGTTCTAAAACTCCACCAAAAAGCTACAGCACAACAAGACGATCTAGAAGCACAAGCAGGTATAGTAATTTGTTCCTTAGCTCTGTTTCCAGTGTAAGATATAATGGTATTGCTGCAAGAAGTGTTGTTAGCCTGGTTTGGGCAATGTCTAATGCTGAGCCTCTCAAAGAAAGTGGGGAGATTACTCATTTGCTAGGGAGCATTGCTATAAATTGTGAATTAGCACTTCAGCTAGGCTTACAAAGGTGCTTACAGAAACTGCAGTGAAACTAGACCCTTTTAAGTCTAACTTGCAGCTCCCATTTAAAAGTAGTAGTATCCAGTGGGAGGAGAATCAGTCTTGTGCCAGAGCCTTGATACCAGCAACTGTCTGGTGACCCTGGCTCTGACAGCTCTGTGGTTTTTCAGACATGAATTTTAGCACAAATAAGACTGAGCAAGTGGTGCTGGACTTGGAAAGGTTGAGAACCCAGGTTCTCATCCTTTGTTGTGATTGCTTGAAATGAGAGATGGACCCTCACTTATTTTGCTCACTGCCAAAGGGGAAAATATTGTTTCAAATAAGCACTTTTTAAGTATATCAGCACAATGATCCCATTCTTTTCTCTACTGTATGATGCACTTAATTTTTTCCCTTAAGTTTACTTGAAGTTATAACTTTAACACTGAAAATAGATTCCTGCTCTTTGCATGGCAAAATGAATATTGAGCTTTTCAGGCCTTCTGGGTTATTTTCAATGTACAAGATGAACTCGCTTTTGTGAGACTCTTTAAAATGCTTCTAGAGCTCATTACTTGTGTTTACAAGTCAAAACTCTTTTCCAATTGAGCAGAAACTCTACCTGATAGCTGAAAATCAAGCTCTTTATCTGACTCCTGTTACACTACCTACAATAGTCTGTAATAGGATCTTAGCTGAAAATTTATTTAATGACAGGGCAAATAAACATAATACAGCTTGCCCTTCATATCCACAGCTGCCTTGTCTTTATAGTGCTCCTAATCACAAACTACTTCACAGTAAAACAAGCAGACATCTTTGTAGGGCAGTGCTCCTTTAGAGTTCAGATAAGTGCCTGTATAAACGTTCTCCATAGAAATGTTGTAGTTTATTAGAGCATTAACGTTGATATGTTTTGGACCACTTCCTCTTCAATGCCTATAGAGAAAGACGGCGCAGAAGAAGCAGGAGTGGAACAAGGTCACCTAAAAAGCCAAGGTCCCCTAAAAGAAAACCGTCCCGATCTCCATCTCCAAGAAGGTCAGTGTGCCTGAAAGCCCCTGAATTTAATGTTTCTCTCTCTCTCTCTCTCTCTCTTTCAAAGGTATGTCTGGGGAATAAATGCTGCATGCTTGTAATTCTTGAAGAGCAGTGGCAGATGTAGTTATAGGCAGTCCAGTTTAGGGAATTTCTTGCATTTCACCATAGCTTCAGTGAGAGATGGAGGTCCTGATTTTTTGGATTGGTTTCTCAAACTAGCGAATGGAGTGGGGGGGTGTTGGTTTTTGAAAATAAACTGGTTCATTCAGTCCCACTTGGAAAATTTCCATACACATAAGGTGGTTAGCATCAGGATCAGAGAACAGTAATAAATGGTTCAATGTCTAGTTGGTAGCTGGTATCAAGTGGAGTGCCCCAGGGGTCGGTCCTGGGGCCGTTTTTGTTCAATGTCTTCATCAACGACCTGGAAGTTGGCATAGAGTGCACCTTCAGCAAGCCTGCAGATGACACCAAGCTGGGGGGAGTAGTAGATACGCTGGAGGGTAGGGCTAGGATTCAGAGTGACCTAGACAAATTGGAGGATTGGGCTAAAAGGAATCTCATGAGGTTCAACAAGGACAAGTGCAAAGTCCTGCACTGAGGAAAGAACAATCCCATGCACTGGTACAGGCTGGGGGCTGACTGGCTGGGCAGCAGCTCTGCAAAAAACGACCTGGGGGTGACAGTGGATAATAAGCTGAATATGAGCCAGCAGTGTGCCCTTGCTGCCAAGAAGGCTAGCGGCATACTGGGCTGCATTGGTAGGTGTGTTGCCAGTAGGTCAAGGGAAGTAATTATTCCCCTCTATTCAGCACTGGTGAGGCCACATCTGGAGTACTGTGTTCAGTTTTGGGCCCCCCACTACAGAAAGGATGTGGACAAATTGGAGAGAGTCCAGCGGAGGGCGACAAAAATGGTGAGAAGGCTGGGGCATATGACTTACGAGGAAAGACTGAGGGAACTGGGCTTATTTAGTTTAAAGAAGAGAACACCGAGAGGGGACTTAATACCAGCCTTCAACTACCTGAAGGGGGGTTCACAAGAGGATGGAGCTAAACAGTTTTCAGTGGTGGCAAATGACAGAACAAGGAGCAATGGTCTTAAGTTGCATCAAGAGAAATTTAGGTTAGATATTAGGAAGGATTTTCTCAGGAGGGTAGTAAAACACTGGAACAGAGCGGTGGTGGAAGCTCCATCCTTGGAAATTTTTCAAACCTGGCTAGACAAAGCTTTGGTGGGGATGATCTAGTTGGGGATGGTCCTGCTTTAAGCAGGGGGTTGGACTAGATGTGACCTCCTGAGGTCCCTTCCAACCCTAACTTTCTATGATTCTGTGATTGCAATTGTATTTGTGGAGTATAAGTTTAGATTACAGTGAAAGTCTTCAGTTGAATTTTAGCTATATGCTCATATTTCTCAATCTCTTAATGTATTCTTGTCCTAGACATAAAAAGGAAAAGAAAAAGGATAAAGAAAAAGAGAGAAGCCGAGATGAGAGAGAACGGTCAACAAGCAAGAAAAAAAAAAGCAAAGACAAAGAGAAGGATCGAGAAAGAAAGTCTGAGAGTGACAAAGATGTAAAGGTATGCTTAAAGTATGGCTTGGCTATGCTGCCTCTATTTAACACAGTATTGAACTTTGCTTAAGAATCTTGAGGCACATTTTACTTTTTTTTTTTTCATCTCTGCAAAGCAGGTTACAAGGGATTATGATGAAGAAGAACAAGGATATGACAGCGAGAAAGAAAAAAAAGAGGAAAAAAAAGTGGCCGAATCTGCTTCCCCCAAAATCAAAGAGTCTCCAGTGGATAAAGGAAGTGGAGATGGAGCAAGAGAATCCAAAGTAAATGGGGATGATCATCATGAAGAGGACATGGATATGAGTGACTGAAAGTTGCCTTTGCTGTGAATGCAGCTGCAGACGTGCATCAGTGTCATTCCTGTGTGATTCTTTTATGCTGTACTTGTTTAATCCTAAATTTAGATGTATACAGCTCTAAACTATTAATGGTTGTAAAGCTCCTGATATTAATTTACATCAAAAGCTTTATAAAAAGTGGTCCATGGGTAACCATTCTTGTATGGCCAAATGGGATTGGGTAGCCAAGCAGTTCTTACTAACTTGGTACTGTTTCAAGCAAAAGTGAAAAGCTGCATGCATCTACAGCAGGCATGGGTTTTTTATGTTGTATGATCTCCTTTAGTAAATCAGCTCACTTATGATAGTGTTTCTAGAGTTTGATTCATTGCAGTAATAGAGCAGTATAGGGAATGCACTGACTGCATGTTAATTGTGGCAGAAACATCCTAAATGTTCTAAAACTCCTACGATATATGATGGATCTACTAAAGGTCTTAAGTGTGACTACACGAAAAAGATTGTTACATCTGGAAATAAGCATTCTGATCTAGGTAGATGATCTTTTTTGGCCATGTGGCTGAACGTTTTTTGTGGATTTTGTTTGGCTTTGACAAGGTTAAAATGCACTAACCTTTTTGATGGCTTTTTTACCCAAAGCCATCTTGGGCAGTGAAGAGTAGCATACTTCAGTGGTTCCTAACTTTTCCTTCTCTTAAGCGGGGGAAGGTAAAATTTCCTAATGTAGTAATGCAGAATCTCCACCTGCCTAGTGTCCAGTCATTAGAGGTTGCTTTGTGCAGTTTTCATAACCCAGTTTTTTACTTTAGGTTTTACTTGTTCATGAGCTAAACACATTGCAGAAAGGTAGTGCATTTTAAAATTGACCTTTGTATGCTTTTAAAAGCAAGTCTACTTGATAATGTACTTTTTACTTGATCTCAAGTTGTATAAACTAATAAATTTTGTGTTTACTGTCACTGCAGTAGTAATCTTATGCACACAGTGATTCCATGTTATGCAAAGTAGTTAGGCAAGCTGTTTTCTTAGTTACAGAAGTTTTTGGAGCTATTACTTTTGTGCAGGTAAAAACAAAAGTAGGCTACAGTCTGTGCCATGTTGATGTACAGTTTCTGAAATTGTTTTACAAGACTTTGATAATAAAACCCTGAAACTCATGCTCATGTTCCTGTAAAACTGTAGTTGTATTTATTTACACCATTGAATGTATGAAATTACCTCATTTATTGAGTTGACCTTCCCCCCTCACTCACCTACTTCAACAGGATCGTAGTTTAAAGTCATTCTTTATAATTAGTGTACAAGCAGTGAAGAAAACTGTTAAGCCTGTTTCAATGCAGCATGTATCTTATTTTATTTTACCTTAATTGTGGATGAAGGGAATACGCCTAAATGGGACCCTAGAGTATCATAGGATAAGTACTTAAAATATGTATTTGTAAAAAAAAAAAAATGTATTTTCATTGAAATATAAACACTTTCATCTTTTATCTTCTCCAGAATGGTAATGGAAGACTAGCAGAAACAGTAAGGAGAGGAAAGCTTTGAGTATCTACTACACAACTCTAAAAGCTAACCTATTAAAGAGTTTGATGTGATGCAACAACTTGCTGGTTTTAAATGAGTAGGTTTTCTAAGTGAAACTAAAACCTGGTGCTTGTAATTTGAGTCTAAGTTTAACCACAATTGTTTTTAAACTGTCATTTTCCTGCAGGAATTTTGAAGTGGGAATTGCCATTTAGATATGCAGTGTCATTTTTAGAATTTGTAGAAATGTAACTTTTTAAAAACTGTTTTCAGTATTTTCTCAATACAGAGAGGTCTATGTCATACCATTGACTCTCCTAGCCTCTTTTTTAGTGGAGTGAAAAAATGATAATCCTAGTAACCAAGACGAAACGTGCAATGTGTAGTTGTGTTTCCATGGACGAGTACCTTGTGCAATCTGACCAGATTCTGTTTTGGAAGTACAAGTACCTAGAGCACTGTACATAGAGCAAGACAACTTGATATTTGGATTCTTTTAATATCACTAATGCCCTAGGATACATGCCATATAGTTACCTGCTTCTGTATTTAGCTAGCAGTGGGAATGCAAAGGGGAGATCATTGGTAATGCACCAAGATTGTCACATACCCTATGAATGTACACAGTCTCTGCATCCCAGTTTTCTGGAAAATAAGGGACAGTCCTACTTTTCTACTGTTTTGTAATGTAATGCAATTTTGAGTAGACGGGGGAAGTGAGGAGCCAGTCTTCAGATGCAGATTCCAGTTGCCCTACACAGATTACTGTTAAGCAGGTAGTGTAGTTGGTGTTTTGTACACATATCTAGTAATATGGGCCTGATGTGTATGAAGGTATATACAAAAAGAGGCACCTTACAAAAGAGGCTTATAAACTGCTACTTTCTACGTCAGTTTTTCATCTGAGATTTGAATACTGCACATTTTAGTTCATGAGCTGCAACAATCAAATGCCTCCATAATTGCTGTTTGGAAGTCGGCATGTGGTAAACCTTTGCCAACCGATTCCACATTTCCTTTTTTCTAATCTCCTATTGAAAATAGCAATGTCAGCTTCTAAATATCAATTAATTTCTATGGAAAGCAGTGGTTGTGGGGGTGGTGTAGTCAAGTTCCCCCTGCCATAAACAGCCCTCTACCCATTCCCTGCCTTTCACTGCCCCCAGTCTCTGCATCTCTCCCTCCTAGTCCTGCCTCTTCTCCCCCCCCGCCCCAACAAACTCCCCACAATCTCTGCCTTTACCTCCCCTCCCCTGGCAGTTCCTGTCAGACACTGCTTAGGCTCTGTTCCCTCCTGAAGAACAGCACTTGGAAGCTCAGCCCTTGCTGGGCTAAACAGCAGCATCAGCACTACTAATTGGCCAGAGGATGGAGTTTCCCTGTACTTGCCCAGGAGGAAATCTAGCCTGAGCCACAGTCAAGTTGCACCTAACTAGCAAAGTGGGGACAAGAAGCTGATCAGTGGGTGTGACTGGCCCCAAGCCAGGCTCTGGGGCAGAGCTGCAGCAGCTACCTGCCCCCCTCCACCCCTGTACTTTGTATGCAAATCTAAGGGGCTTCCCCCATGCTGACTTGAGGGGGGGAAAACTAGACATATTTGAGTACATTTTGGTAATATGGAAAAGCTAAAATGTGTTACTTTTTGCTGCTTTAAAGCAGGTTTATAAACTTGGCCTGGGTGAAGTGGCAAGTATTCTATTCAAATTCAGCTGCTTCGGAAGGACAGTGATTTGATTTGGTGATTCGAGTCACTGTCCTGATTTGATTTGGCCAAATGAGATTCAAAGACTCAGGATCAATTCAGAGATTTGGCCGTAGACTAAACAGACAGCGGTCCTTGACTGTGCTAGACAGCTGCCTCCAGCTGGTACATGGTGGGCAGAGGGAGGGAGGGAAGGGGTGGGGATTGAGACTGGGACAAGCTGCTCAGCTCAGGCAGGGCTTGCAAGGGGGGAGGGCATGGGAGTGGGTTTGTGCCCCTGGATCTGTGTGGGGTGGGCTGAGCTGAGCTGGGCTGTGCTCCAGACGGGCAGCAAAAGGTGCTGGGAATGGGGGCTCTGCCCTGCTGCTGCTTGTCCAGCCGGGGGTGGGGGGATGCCCAACACAGGCACATCCCACTCCAAGTGGAAGGTTCCGGGAGCAGGGGCTGTACCCTCCTGCTGCTCACCCAGCCAGGATGGTGCCACTGCAGGGTCTCAGACAAGTGGTGCACAGTGGTGGAAACTATTCCAGCCTCCTTGCACCTTCAGGACAAGCCATGGCTTTGCCCTGGCTGGGTGAGCAGTGGCAGGGCATGGCGGTGGGCACATGCACCTGGATCAGGGAGGGGCCAGTGGCAGGGGCTATAGGGAATTTTAGGGTGGCTGCAGCGCCCCCCCCCCCATAGCTCCTGCTCCACTGTGCTCCGCAGGGCGGGCGGACCCAGGGCTGCGGCTGGAGGTAGCTTGGAGTACAGCTTGGCCCAGCCTGCCCTGTGCAGAGCCGGTGGCACATGCCCACTCCCCTGCCTTACCGGACCAGTGGGGTGTGGCGGCATGCAGTGGCAGGAGCCCCCCTCCCCAAGTCCTGCGGCTCTCCTGCCTTGGCTGGGAAGCTTATCCCAGCCCCAGCCTTCCCTTGCTATGGGTGCATTTATCTGCCCTCCCCCCTCTGCCCACCACAACAGACTTACCAGCTGGAGGCAGCTGTGTCCAGTGTGGTTGAGGGCTGCTACCTTTTTAGTCTGTGGCCAAATCTCCAAATCAGCATCAAATTGATTCAGCCCCTTTAGTGGGTCTCCCGATTCGATTTGGATTTGGCCACTGAATCAGGCTGAATCTCCTCCAAATAGAATTGGCTACTGAAGCTTTGCCATAGCCCTATTATAAACCATCCGTTTTTCCCCTGTTCTCTGCTGGAAGACCACCAGCAAAAACATTCTTAGAAATACCGAGGATGAGAGAAAGTATATTCTGAGCTCAGATTTAAGCTTTTACAGTGCAGCAAGCTCCTTGGAGGCATGTAAGAGTTTCACTCAGATTGCTTGAACTTATTTCTGCAGATGCTATTGATTTCCTACACACTTGTCACTTCCTAGTCTTGTGACCAATCTTGGCCTAGGCTCTAAATTACCAGTGGGATGATCTGAGAATTATTATATGCTGCTTTATATCTGGTGTTGGGGATGAAAGATCAGAAGCAGGTTCTCCCCTTCCTGCTTCGTGTCAGTTTTAAATGTTTTTCCTAAAATGTAACAAGTTCATACACGTTACATACATGTAATTACATTCTTTGAGGGGGAAAATGTTTAAACTGCATTTCATGTACATCAGATGCTAGCTGAAAAGCCCTACTGAGAGAACAGGAAATTGTCCATTAGTTGTAACAGGGCCAGTATTTTAATGGAGGCAGTAGATACACAGCACTTCCAAAATTGTCTAAGTTGTATTTAGATCTGATCCTAAAAACACTGACTTCTATTGGGACTGCCTACTTACTATCACAAGCATGTATAGGTGCAGCTATGAAAGAAGCTTTTCTACACAGGCTGCAGCTTGAATTTCAGATGACTTGAGAGATGGGAATGAACAGGGTTATATTGAAAATTCAGGATTTTATTTAAAAACTGACCAATAAAATCTCCTTGCAGAAATGTGACAGAGTGCCTGCAGAAACACTCCAGCCTTTCCTCAAATCATAATCCTTGCTCCAACACGTAAGAAATGCCTACAACGTACATAGTCTGTAGTTGAACTGAATTTTCACATCTTGAGCAGTTTCAGAATCAAACAGCATCTTTTGGTCTTTATTCTAACAAATAATACAACCTAAAGTTACTATTAGTGAAGGTGAGTTAAGAATATGGACCACACGAATAGTAAAATGCAAAAAGTGACAATGTTTCCATGATGAGTACAAACTGTTTGGAAGGAAAGTAAAATGTGAAACTGCAGCATTACAGGAAATTTGTTAATACAATTTAAATAATGTAATTATCCTTGCATGAATTTAAAAATCAAGAACAAGTACACTTAAACTGACAGATGCTTTGAATATCAACTTAACAAGGTGGGTTTCCAGCACAAATATATCCCCAGTTGTTTTATAACAAACAATTTAAGTACATATGTCAAGAACTGCAGTTAAAGTGAATACAGTGACTGGAACAGCAGCTACCTAGAAGGAAAAATAAAAATGCATTCCCTTTGCCACAAATTTAAAGCAATGTTTTGGAAGACCAGTAAAACTGAGTTTGGTTAAGAAACGATTCTAGGAATTGGTTTACAAACAATCCCTTGTTTCAGCTTACATAAAATTAGTGGGTGCATTTAATAATTTTTTTTTTTTTTTTTACTCCTAAAAAGGTCATAACCCTAACTGGGAAATATGTCAAGATCAAACAGCTTTTTTGCTGGGTTTTTTAAAAAAGGCATACAAATCAAAGCATTTAGACTGAACAACCTTGAGATAGAGATTTCCTCCCTTATCCAGAGGGGGGGATCTTGAAATCTTTGCCAACTTGACTGAAAGCCATGACATGGAATCAAAAGCAACTTGTATCTCTACATTTTAAACATTCTGAATTTTGACCGTCCATCACGTTTGAATGTTTAACTTTTTGCTTTTTCTGTCGCTGTTAAGTTACAGGTGAGAGATCCAACTAAGAGGGA